TCTCCTACGAAAATCTGTAAAAATTTATATATATTCTGAAAGAGGAAACTTCGCTGCATCTTCCTATGATAAAAACTCGACTTCGATTATTTTACCAAAAAATGAAATTTCTGAGGGGGGGGGGGCCCTTAATATATTGCGATTATTATCTTTCATCAGTGATTGTTAGTAGTAATTACATATGTTAGTGAATTCCATGTTTCAATATATTAGCAATTGTATTGTGTTTTATATTTAAATCACACAGCAATTGTATTAACAACTTTCTCTTATGGTAAATATGTCATTGTTTTTAAATACTAATGAGGATTATATCAGATAGTTTTCTTTTCTTTTTATATATTTGGTATGTTACTCATCTTCATTAAATTTTCTATTTATTAAATGATTGAATAAGTTGTTTAAAATTTTGTACGAGTACAAAATTTAGTATGTCAATTCAAATAGCAGGATTTTACTTATTGAGCATTCGACTACATTCTTTTTTAAAGCAAGTTAAAAATTGATTTTTATCATTCAATACTATTGCATAGATTAATCATAGTTCAAGCATGCATTTGTTTATGTTTTTTATATTCTATTGACGAAAAACTAGTTATAATTGTTTATAAGACTTGATTAAAGAAAGCAGGATTCATATTTCATCACTTTTTATCATCAACCAAAGCAAGAACAAAACCAGTACGACTTGGAGTATAAACCTAAGACAAGATAAATAAATTCTCTTAATAAAAAATAAAAACAAAAACAAATATTCATTTGAATTTACTCTAAATGAAAATGGTCTTTCATCCCATTTGACATTTTCGGTACAAAATATTTGTTCATTACTAATTCTTTCCTGACCATCAAATGATTTTGCATCTGAGTTAAGTACAACTTTATATCTATAGAAGAAAAATTTTTCAGTTAGTATCAAAAAAAACAAAAAAATTAATTAATTATTTTACTTTCCACTTTGACCACATCCAATACGATAATCAGCAAAACTATTGTGTCCATGAAAATTAAATATAAATATTAAACCATGATCACCACGTTCAAATACTATAACTTTATCAGCTTCATTTCGTCGACTAATAAACTGAAAAATAGAAAAATTTTAATGATTTCTCATCGATATCATAATACTATTACAACTGGTATCTCGAGTGAAAGGTCATTAATACCCCTATACAATATTCAAGTAAGATCTATTGTCTTCTACAGTCTAAGTATTATGTTCAGAAGTAATTACATCGTTACTCTCAAATGAAATATGTATTCTTAGAGTTGAGGAATCGAAGTTATTTTGGTACATTACCATATATCACATAACTTCAATACTATAAGGTATAAGTATATATCTTTACATTTGATGAAGAGTGTGACGTAGGAAACTCACTTTAAAATTTCTCTCGACATCTACTTCATGACAAAACACTATGTATTGTCGGGTTCTTATGAACAGGAACTGGCAGTAGGTTTCGAGCTCCTAGGAATAGAACCAGAAACTCACATTCATAGTATGAGGGTATAGGTAGAGATGAATAGAAAAGCTTGTTAGCGCAGCCCAATTGGGGCTGAAATGTGGAACTCACAGATGCTCTCTAGCCTCATTCAACTAATATAAAATACGTAAACTGAAAAATCTCTCCTAGACTAAAGTTGTTTTGCAGGATAATCAATCGCAAGAGTAAGAATCTCTCTAATTTCGAACATAATGTTCTTTCAACTTTTTTTCTATGGGTGCCCTATTTTTTATTTG